TGATCAGTGCCAAACGCGCAGTTTGGCGTGTATCTACCGCATACCCCCCAAAACAGTTGATTCAACAATCAAGATTCAAAAACAGCTTGATACCCTGCAGCACAGCTTCAACCACTACGCGGATCTAGTAGAGCAGCTCAAGACACTACCGGAGACAGATGCGCTCAAGCTTCTGCAGAGGCTGAGATCGCCGGCGGATGTGAATGGGGCTTTTGCGTCGTTGCAGGGGAGTGTAAATACCAGGATACGGCTGTCGAATCACAGGACGGCGCAGGCTATATTACCGACTACGAATTCAAGGGTTGAGTTTGAACTCACAGCGTTGCATGGCATTGTGTATCCGACATTGGTGCCGATTGATATTACCTCTCTTGGGGTTTCGCCTTTGGAAAAACCGGCGCTTCCTGCGACGCAGACGGAGACTTTGGTGCACAAGATATCGCCGGCGAGTCCTGTTGTCCTTTCGTCGGATCGGGTTCGTTCACTTTGCGATAGTCGGCTGGAGGATATTGATATTTCGTACTGGACAAAGGTCCCGATCAGCAATGAAACTGCCGCGGCGATGATCTCGCTGTTTCTGGAAACGGACCAGACGATCGTGGGGTTTATCGATGCTGATCTATTCGTGGAGAGTCTCGTGGAGCGAAAACCCCAATTCTGCTCTACGTTCCTCGTCAGCGCGATATTATACGTTGCTTGCGTGAGTGATGCGGCTTCTTCTACTTTGACACTCACTGACTAAGATGGCAGCATGCATTTACAGCTTTCGATTTGGAGTCCGTAGCCGTTGGTCGTCTTTGCTTCCAAGAAACGGAAAGGCTCTTTCGCGCTGAGGGCTCGTTCGACGACCTAATCACCCTCGCAGCTATCAACACCTTCAGCCTCGCCTGTCGCTTCCATGGACATGAGGAACTAGCCCAAGAACTCGTTGCTGCTGCTCGCCACATGGGAAGGAGACTTGGTTTGTACAGTGTCCCGTTGGATAGTCCGTCATCGCTGGCGTTCCAGGAGTTGCCCGATGACTTGGTCCGTATGACCGCACATGTTGCCTGGGGCACTTACAACTGGTTAACGTAAGTGACTCATCAAAATGGTTCATTCGACATTTTCTGAGAGTTTCCACCACAGGATTCATGTTTTGTACTTTCACGATGAGAGTATAGCGATACCGCCTGCTCTGCCAATACCTGGTCACGAACGAGTTGATGACCTATGGCCTGAACATCCGCTGCCAGAATACATGGGTTCCTCATTCACCAAATTGTGCGAGTTCTTCACTGTGATCCAGGAGGTAGCCGTGGTCTACTCCATAGCAGACGGGACACCTGTCGTTGATCGTGTCCCCATCGCTTTCGCAGAAGCCAAGTATCAGAAGATCTTGGCCTGGGCGGATTCTCTTGGTAAAGACATGGCTTGGGATCAAAACAGCCAAGAGCATGTCATGTTATTCCAGTGAGTCTACAAACTCTGCTTGAGGTATTTTACTGACTTGATACTTAGTATGTGGTTCCACTGCGCAGTCCTGGATATCTTTCGTCCCTTCGCCCACGGCGGCCACAAAACCTACACCCTCAAATCCTTCTCCTCCCAGGACAGCACGCCGAAAACCATCTTCTCCGCCTCCCTGAACCAACTGAAACGACTCGCCCTGCTCTACCGCACACAGCAAATGCCCAATAGCTACATGCCCTACATCAACATATCCCTAATCCATATCGCCAACACAATCTGCAGAGAAACAAACGACCCCACTGCGAAGTTTTACTTTCTCCTGTGCATACGCTACTGGCAGCACTTGTATGTAGGATATCCCATATTTGGGGGAATAGCACAGGCGTTCTTGACGATGGCGATAAATAACGGGTTGATCACGAACAGAGAGGCCAAGAGGCTGATGGCGGAGGTTAAGGGGCAGGGAGGGCACCATGATGAAGGGATCTCAACGAGTTTGATTGTGGATTTTGACTTGGCCATGACGAATAGGGATGAGGCGGATGTCCAGGCTGTTGCGCAGAAGTTTGAGGAGGTGGCGCTGTTTGATGAGTTTGCGGTGTACAAGAAAGAGGATTAGACGGGAATTGGTTTGAGGAGTGTCTGAGGAGTTATTATACCCTTGCATAGCTTGTCTTGTTAGCATTTTTGGTTATGGAACCATGTATGAAATTAGAATTAATTGCGTGGTGTGTTGAATTGTTGCTCTTTACAAGAGTTTGAACAGCCTATCCTGAATCTCTTGGTCTCCAGTCCGATAGCTTTTCTCCCAAGCATCAATAGCCTCACCGTCCATAAGCCCATGTACATAAGCTGGCCCAAGAAATAGATATTCATCTGGCGCTGCCGTTGGCCGTATGACATATGGCGTCCTACCTCCAAACAGAACACAAACAACATCCCCAGGCCTCATACAACGAGGTCCGAAACCCACATAGCCTGTTTCCGTAACAAATATCTTGCTGTGATGAGAAGCCCGAATCAACTTTTCGAACCGCTGCGGCCCCACGACAAAATCACAGTCGATCCTGCTAAGCATGTTCAAATCAGCCGCCACAACCGGCGGATCATTCGGATAAAGAGTTGTGAGCATTCTTTCCAAGAATTCAAAATCCTCGTGTGATGTCCAGCATGGCTCGGCCGGCAGCGAAATACCTTTTGCGGCGAGCCTCACGAGCTCGAGGCATCTCTTCTGATTGACTTCTCTACCGTCTTGGGATATGTGAGCTTGAATCGTGAATTTCAGGGCAAATGCTATGAAATTCTTGATATATCCGTCGTCGGTTGGACGGGTTCTGACGTGGTTGATCATGGGACCAGAGCTCTCATGACCAGCCATCATTGTCAGGAGGACTGTTCGGATGATATCTGAGCCGTATCTTTTGCTAAAGACCTCCGTGTGATGTGCGATCATATCAACGACAGCAGGAATATCTTGGTGTATGTCGATTCCCCTATCACGCACGTCTCCGATTGAATCGACCTGGATGCCTCTGAGGTTCAGCACCTTTTCGCTCATTGATGGAACCCGTAAAATAGGCGTATATCGTGAGGCATTGAAATTGTAGTTGATCAAATAGTGTTTATGCGAACCATCGTCCGACTGCCATCTCGGCGCCCAAAGAGGACGGCGCTCTGGGTCTTCAGGACTCTCCACATATGAATGATCGAGAATGTTCAAGTTCTTTTCCGACACTATCACCAAATGAGCAAATTCCGAAAAGACCTCTGTCTCACTTCTGCTGTAGTCTGGCACCATGCCGTAGGACCTATCGCCAGCAAGTCCAATCAACGCAAAGATCTTGTCCCGCGCGTCTGTTGCGTTGGTTGACGATGTCGACGAGACTAGGTGCAAGAGACTGTCGTCCCCAACTTTGTAGTGTCCCATGTGCAAGAGGGCGACTACGTTCCACAGCACTCCTGGTGAGCCATTTTCGACGTCTACGTCGGAGAGTTTGTAGTAGAGAGCGGCCAATCTGAACTTCTTGAACTCGCTTTTAGAGATAGTAATGTCTCCCCAAAGCAGTCTGAAGTCTGAAGCGACTGCCACTTCTTGTATAATCCAAACTCTTGAAAAGTATGGTACACTAAGCATTGTGTTCAAGGCGTCCCAGGCAGATGAATCTCGTGTTGGCAGACCGAGATCCAGCAATTCTTGATCCTCGGGGAAAATATCTTTTTCATAAACGCGAGGTTTCGAGTTTGCCAGGGTTTTAATGATTCCAGCTGCAGAGGATGCTACCTCTGGATCAGCAGGACCAAGCCATGCATTGACGATCTCCGCATTGGAGTAGATATGCCTCATGATGCTGACCTGCTCGGACCGCTCTGCTATGGAGTCTTGATCTATGCATATTTGATCGATCCATATGTGACGCGACTTTCCGGGGAGTCTCAGCCTTCTCAGGGCCGTCTCAAGGCCATCAGTGATAGTGAAGTCTTGGCCGTTGCACTTGATGGTCTTGGTTCGATTGGGAGGTCCCCACACATAGCTGAGAGCCTCATACTTGGGAGCTGCATCGAGTGGATATGTCTGAAGAGTACCCTGCAGCTCATCACTCCCTTCCCCAGCATCAAGTGTAAAGATTCGGAAGGAGTTTTGATTTAAGCGTCCATCGTATTTGAATGTTTGGCTGCCTCGAGTCAAGTCAGTAGATTGCTACATAGCACCGGGCGGGGAAAATACATCTCGAGCAAGAGGTTAAGGGTTTACTTTGAGAAGTCATTTGTAGCAGTGAAACCTCTCTACGAGTCTTCCACCAGGAATATCTTGGACGAGAGCTGTTGGGGGTGAGGGATACAATCGGCGTATGGCCTTTCCGCATCAATACCGACCGCATCGTGCCATGATGAATAACGATTGATTCAATGCAGAAATGACATGGTCTGTGGTATTTGAGTCGTGGAGAGCTCAAGTTAGAGCGTCATATAAATGAAGTCGGTTGATGCGTGTATTGCACAGCCTCGTGCTTTGGAAATTAGGCAGCCGCTGCCTGATTGGGATTTCATTTTTCACGTGCTTGTCTCAGCCACATCTGCAACTGTACAAACAACAATTCAGCCAAGCTACGAAGTGGAAAATGCTGAACTTGATGATGCCTAGGTATTCGCTATTCTCCATTACCTGTTGTTTATTTAATGCTCGTTTGCCTTGGACATTCTTCACAGCATGCGGTCAGATGCCTTCTTGACATTGAGGAATGGTAATCTCGATCAAAGATCAAATTAGTTGTCTAAATGTCTCTCAATATCGAGGGTCCTTGGCCTTTCCAAGGTGAATATCTTGGTTCGACTGGGACGTGACTGGGACCTTGTCACACCCGAGCATTGATTGGTCACCATCAAGATGGTGAATCGGGAGCCTGTCATGCCCGAAAGATGATTGATCAGGCCCTGGCTCTGCACTTGGACCCTTGAAAAGTCTGACGTAGAGCGAACCTGTCAAAAAGCCTAATTATAGTTAATAATGTCTCAAGTCTGCAAAGTAACCCTAGAGATATGCGGTCGGGATGGCTCTCCCTCGTCACTCTCTTCGATTTTGCACTTGTGCTACCAACTTTAAGAACTTCACACCTTCTGGGACTCCTTTTATTGACCGTCGCTTCTCTACTAGTTACTCAAGTTTATTCAATCATCCTTATTCACTCAAGATGAACGGGCACGGGGATCTAAACAATTCCCACGCTGGGAGGACGGCAGTTGAGCTGACCCCAGACCCAGCCTTTGCTTGTCGATCCCTCGCCATTGACCCTTCCAATGACCCCTCTGAAGTCCGAGAGAAATACCGCCCATTTATTCTTGAAGACAAGCACATAAAAGATGATTGGGTGGCAGATTTGGAGCTGAGCACAGCTATCCAAATGGTTCAATCCGAGATTCTCGATAAAGGCCTAGATCGTCTGCGAATGCTAGTCCTCTACGGTAGTCTACGGAGTCGGTAGGTGTTCATCCGCAGGCTTTAGTGCTGGTTACTAATATCACTTCACTTCAGATCATATTCTCGCCTCCTCGCCTTCGAAGCCTCACGAATTCTCCACCGTCTCGGTTGTGATGTTCGAGTCTACGACCCAGCCGGCCTCCCTCAAAAAGACGATCTTCAACACAACCACCCAAAGGTTCAAGAGCTTCGTGAGCTGAGTAAATGGAGTGACGGCCACGTCTGGATAAGTCCAGAACAACATGGAAATCTGGTGAGCCCTTCAATCCTCTAACCTCACGTCGTAAGACTAACCCGGCGTCAAGACTGGCATCTTCAAACAACAGATCGACTGGATCCCCCTCTCAACCGGCTCCGTCCGTCCAACCCAAGGTCGAACCCTCGCCATCGCTCAAGTCAGCGGCGGCTCGCAATCCTTCAACGCTGTCAACTCTTTACGTATTCTTGGGCGTTGGATGAGGATGTTTACGATCCCGAACCAGAGTTCTGTACCAAAGGCTTATACGCAGTTTACGTCTGAGGAGGAAGGGAGTCGTATGCTGCCGAGTGGAAATCGCGATCGCCTTATCGATTGTATGGAGGAGCTTGTGAAGTATACCATTGTTATGAGACCGCATTTCGACCTGTTCGGGGATCGGTTTAGTGAGAGGGAAGAGAAAAAGGCGAAGAAAGACGGAAAATAGAAGATACATAGATGTCATCATGTTAGAAATAGATCCAGTAGAATGTTCTTGGATGGTCTGTAAATGTTGCAGATGGTCAAATAGATTGCGCTGGGCTAAGCGAAGTTGGCCTGGGCATGCATCGGAACTCAATTATGATAAGACAAGTACAGCAAGTATCAGAATATACAAAATATCGCGGAGTCACTCAGCCAGCTCAAATAAAAGCAGCTATATCCAACTCTATCTGTCAATTGTATAGTGGTAAATCCCAAGGCGGTACGAGTTCATCGTTACTTCGTCGCTCAACTCTCAAAAGCAGCCCCAGCCCCAGCCTGTTCTCCAATACGCCCGGACGATAGTCAAAGCGACCATGTCCCATATGCATCACACCAATCCAATGCTAAATGCCAACCCGGTCTATTGTATTCTTTTATTGTTGCTTTATCGCGGTGAGCTCACGCAGCCTCAGCCTCTTGCTCGGCGAGGTTCTCATCTGAGCCCTGCCAATCGTCGCTCTCAAGGCCGTCGCGGCGGATGAAGAGAGATGAGACCCAGCCCAAAATGGCCAGGCCGCCGAAGATGCTCCAAGCCAATGCTTCACCCTTAGGTTGGATATTGATGGACAGACTGAAGAGGCCACCCGACACAAAGGGCCCGAAGCTGCGGCCAAGGGCAGAGAGGGTTTGAGCCATGCCATTGAGGCTGCCAAGACTTGAGTGCGATGGAGCGGAGTTGGTGATCTACTGGGGTTAGTAACGTTCAGATGAGGGCGCGCAGTGTTGGAGGACTCACCAGAAGCATGACGCTCGACAAACCACCTACAGCGCAAAGGTTCTTCAAGATCAATACAACACCAAGCTCAATGTACAGCCACATCTTGCCGCTTCCCAGACCAAACAAAGGCTTGCTATCGGCGTAGCCAACCCACGGCATGAGCAGCATGCTGATACCCAGCCCCAGAAGCGAGATTTGGTAGGTACCGAGATTACCCAATCTGACCTTGAGCGCTTGGAAGAGGAAAGCCTGGAAAATGCAGCTCGCCAAACCTGCAATACTCAGACTGATGCCAATCTTACTGGGCAATAAGTCGCGGCCGGCAGGTGGTGGCGTAGCGGCAAAGATGGGGTACAGACTGTTGAAGGAGATGTTGGAGAGTTGGAAGACGAGATACGTGAAAAGAATGAGGATCGTGGTTCGGCTGAGGTCTTTCCACGCGGACATTGCCGGATCCGCCTTGTTATCGCTTTCGTCGTCGTTCTCAGTCTCTTCGTCATCGTCATCGGATTCGAGCGCTCGTCCGGAGGAGAGAAGGGGCTGGTTCTGGTAAGATTGAGATCGAGGCCAGCGCGCGCTCCAAGATGCTCGTCGAGGTGGGGGCGTAGGTGAAGAGAACCAAGAAATAATCTTCTCGATCCAGGCGGGCTTCTCAAAATTGACTTCAGTCTTGTCCAGTGTCTCTTCGAACCAGATGCTGACCACCACGACACTCAGAGCGAGGAGACCAGCGGACAGTATATTAGGGGCAAGATAAGGGTACTCTTTGCCCATCCTGCCCACAAGAATGCCACCCAGCGCAGGTCCTGTGATGCTACCGAGGGAGTAGATGACAGGCAGATATGTGAATGCGCGACTCTGGTTAGAGCGATCTGTAACCTCTCCCAGGACTGTGGGAACGCATGCGGCATTTCCATTGAGAAGTCCCATTGCGACATGGACAACAACGATCTGCCAGTATTCCTTGCAGAAGCCAAATGCACAGAAACACCCCATCAGAGCGGTCGTACCCATGATCAGAACTGGCTTGCGTCCAATGACATCCGAGGCATACCCCCAGAGGAAGTTGGTCGACAGCTGCGCCAATGCGAAAGAACTCGCAAGTATTCCAACATATAGGCCGGCCTCATCGTCAGGAATACCGGGCATATTAAGTACCATTTCAGGTAAATACGGCGATATCGAGTTCAGCGCGGTCTGCTCCGCGAGGGAGAGAAACGCCAGCAATAGCAGCTGTCGCACAGGCAAGGGCGTCTCTTCGTGATCGTCTTCATCTTCGGAATCGCTTCCATTCGACGGAGCATACGGTTGTTCGAGAGGTGTCTTGGGAGGAGTGGTAGGAAAAGTCTGGTATCGATGAGACTGTCGTCGTAGGGAGCTGAGGGTAGGGATCGGCGCGCCAGCATGGAATGAACCAGACGAGGCTGTTCGATTGACAGCCATGGCTCTGGCCGCGGCGTTCGAGGAGTTATTTCGTGAAGGCGCCATTATGAACACTTTGTTGCAGTCCAAAGGCCTCTTCAGACCTTGGGAAAGCTTGTAGAGGATGATCACCTCTCAAGCTTTGGGGGAACGAGCGAAAGAGTGGTGACGTAGGATGTGCGTAGCGAATCTGGAGAGATTTATTTGGCGGGGCTGACACGCGCCACGATGAGAACAAGGCTCTAGCTTGGCATTTGCTTAAAAGTCAGTCAAGCCGATGCTAATGAAGAGGTATCCAAGATGATCGGCCAATCTTCAACTGAGGTAAGACATAAAAATTGGATTGCTTGCAGCTGTTTGATGGCCCGAATATCGGCCGATCGGTCGTTTCTGGGCAGGTGCAGGAAGAAAAAATGCAGGTGATTGTTGTTCCTGCCCTCGTGAGCCTGTCGCAAGGTACGATCGCTGATGTAATTATGGGGCGATTGACGCTCATCAGCCAATGAGGCATGACCGTTTATGATGGCACCGGGCGGCTTACTCCGGTGGAACTCAATGCAAAGAAGCTTATCCAAGTTTGTGATCGTTGAAATCGTCCTGTTGAAGATTTGATCGAGATCTTGGTTACACGTGCTCACATGCCTCTTGGGGAACGCGAGGATATGATGCAATTGAATGAGCTACACGGATGGGATCGATCAGACGCGTGGATGCCTACCCTGTACAAGCAAAAGATGAATTGACAAACTTCCATCCTCAGTTCACCGTAGGTACTAAGCGACGTGTCAGTAATTTGCCATCTTCTGGGAATAAGATTTCTCATATTGACATAAATTCACTCGCAGGGAAGAATTGACCCGTTGCCATATGCTGTTGGCTACCCAGCAACTTGAAGACACCAAATGTTTTTAGTTGAGCCGCTCACGTAACATAAGCTAGATCTCAGGTGAGACCATGAATGACTTATACCAACCATTGGCAATAGAGGATTCGTTTCTCTTCAACCCTACACGAGAATTGATGCCGCTATCAGTGAGCCGAGATGGAATTCTCCCTCGCTGTTTAACAATTTGCGGCTTGCCTTGCTCCATAGGCTCAATTTTGACAGCACAGAGACATCAAGATAAGCGTAATTGGTTTAGTGGTAAAATTCTCCGTTGCCATTCGAGCAGCGTCGGGGAGCCCAGGGTTCGATTCCCTGATTACGCAGTACAACATCTTCTTTTGCTCTTCTCGAGTCTCTTATCTCTTTTTGTCGATATCGCGATGTTCTCCTCTTGGTGTTTTGAGTTTTGATGCTGTGGCAGAACTGGTGGCTGTCTTGTGTGGCGCTGCGTAAATGCATATATATGATTGGCCAATTACCTCTGCCCTTAACAGAGCAGTCTCATAGCACTGGGATTTTAGTACTTCATTTCTACCTACAACTATGTCCTCATAACTTTATGCCGAAATAGTTAAAGGCCTGCTTAGATCTTTCAATGATATTTCCCATGTCATACAATTTCCAAGGGACGAAGAGAGAAGCTTACTTCACAGAGTATCCCCAGTATCCAATTACCTGCTTGCACTGCACAGACTGAAGGTTGGCTTCTGGTCAGATCATGTTGCAAGTGCCCGACCCTCGAGCAAGCCGTATATAACATTTAAAGTCAGGAAATGAACTAAATTCCTCTTTTCGGTGCATGATAAAATCATAATAATAATGACAAAGGAACAAGATTACCTTTATTTTAGCCAGAGGCTCCAGTCAAGCTTCCACCCGAATACAGCCATGTCAAACAACCACAGCCAAGGCATCCCGCCAGGGGAACTGGGCTTGAAATGACACACTTGATTGGGCAACAATGCATCTAACACAGCACCGTAGATGCAGTCAGATTTTGAGGCAGTGGCATTCACATTCTGCCAGTCTGCACTCTGAAAATGGGGTTCGCCCAATTCCTGCCCAATTACCCCAACTTCGACTTTCTTTCAACACAAAACCTTCCCCTTTGCTTAGGGAGGAAGAAAACATCTGAGCTTGAAGTAGTCTAAGTTCCACTAGATCTGTTCTAAGTTTTTATCACTGCAATAGTCGTAATGGCGACCGGCTTGGAAGCCCTCGGGGCTGCCAGCGCTGTTGTTCAGTTGATCGCTTTTGCCGGTAGCCTCGTGTCCCTCAGCTTCAAAATTTACGATGGAATACCTACGACCGAGAACGAGCTTGAGGAGTACTCGAACAAGATGATGGAGGCGGCCCGTGGCGTTCAGTCTCGTGGCGCCGTAGTGCCCCAGGGAACCCAGGTTACCGACAAACTATCCAATGTCTCCCAGGAGTGCATCGACACAGCGTCAAAGCTGAAAAAAGAGGCTCAAACACTTACCAAACGGTACAAAAATGGAAAAGGCAAAATTTACAAGGCTGTTTATTCTGCTTTCCGCACAGAGAGTCATAAAGTCAAGCTCAATCAGTTGAATGAATCCTTGAAGAAGTGCAGGGAATTGATGGAAACGGAGCTTTTATTGAAGATATGGTATGTGCTAGGTTCTATTGACTATCCTTGGAGAGCAAGAAAACATCAGATGAAATAACCTCAGGAAAAGGTACCTCGAACTTATACTATGTTACCTTAGTCCTTTCGTTATTTAGGAACAAGGTCTTGAGTTTCCTTTCCTCCTAGACTGCCTATATAATCAACGCCTGCTAACAGCACGATGTGAAAAGCGACCAGGACACTGCGATAGCACAACAGCAGTCCCAAGGATTCCGAAGTTTAGAGGTTGATGTCCAGAACCTCATTCTCAAGATCGCGAAAGGCTATACCAAGGTAGAGCAACTGGTTTCCATCGAAGCCCAAGCCACACGGGATGTCATCACCACCCACGTCACCTCCGAGCTCAAGGCTTTGGAGATAAAGAACATTTCAGACAGCCAGCGTCAACGACTATTGAAAAGCCTCAAACCAGAGGAAATTAGAGAGAGATATAACGCTGTGCTGCCGTCATCGGATGCCTGTTTCGAGAGGGTTTTCGCATCATATGAGCGTGTTTGCCGCCAAGACAGCAGTTATAAAGCCTGGGACAGAACCAACCCAATAATGAGTTATGGAAAAGGAATTACGAGTCACCAAGTTGACGAGATTGACCTCATATGGGACGGTTTCCGTACCTGGCTGCAGTCAGATGACAAGCTATTTTGGATACGAGGAAAGCCAGGATCTGGGAAAAGCACTCTGATCAAATTCGTTATCAACAACGACAACACAAAGCGTTTACTTAGTTCTTGGCGCCCAAATACTAAAATTCTGTCGCATTTCTTCTGGAAGATCGGCAGTGAACCTCAGAACAGCATCAAAGGCATGTTATGTTCCTTGCTTTACGACCTTCTATCAGAAGATGATGATGCCATCGACAAAGTATTGAAAGAGTTCAAGTTCTCCGAATCGAAGGACTTTTACAAGGAGTGGTCGTATCAAGAAGTGGAGAAAGTCCTCTGGTATCTTTTAGATGCTTCAGCTCACCCAAACTGCATTTTTGTCGATGGTCTTGACGAGATATCGGACAAGGATGGGTACCAGGCACTCCTTAATGTGGTTCAAAGACTTACGACATGTCGGGGAGTAAAGATCTGCGTATCTAGTCGACCCGAGACAGAGTTAGTCAGAGGGCTCGAAAAAAATGGAGTGCCGAATCTACGACTAGACGACCTAACCAAACCTGAGATGGCCGTCTATTTACAGAAAGAATTCCAGAGATTGCCGAAAGAACACTCCGCTTACTTGCATTTTGAGTACTTCACAAAGACCCTTTTGGAAAAAGCGCAAGGGGTCTTCCTCTGGCTTACTCTTGCTACGAACAGCGTAACCAATGGAATCATGAATGGCGATGATAAGAAAACCCTTTCCCAAAGGCTCGAAGAACTCCCAGAGGAGCTTGAATCTCTTTACCAGACGATGTGGGATAGACTAAATGGGAATAGTCGAGTATACCGTGAAACAGCCGCGAGATACTTCCGCTTTGTCCTCACTGACGGTTGGGATAGAAGTCTGGGAAAGAATGGACACTATTGCTCCATGAGAGAACCCAATCTGGTTCAACTATCACTGGCAATGAAGTTTGAAGACCGCTTCATCTTCCCACCCCAGACCAATGAGAAGACACTGTCTGAATTGCATGATCTGTGCAATGCGACAGAGCGTGATGTCCAAATCAGATGCGCTGGGATGCTACAAGTTGATCGAAAGTCTGGCTTTACCGAAGACAAATACGAAATGGAGCTCCCGAAAGCAATCTATCCACTCACACGGCCGGTCCACTTCATTCACCGCACAGCTCATGACTTCTTGGTCGATACAGAAGCTGGCCAGTCCATTGTGAATTACAAGACAAATGAGACAAAACCTTTGGATACAGACCTAAAGCTGGTAAAGTCCTGGCTCAATCTCGTTAATACGTTCTACCGTGAGTTTGATATTGCGTCCAATGTTACTCGCGCTCTTTTTGATTGCTCTCGGCTGAATAGCAAGGGGGTGAATCCTGAACAGACACTGGAGATACTTGGAACAATCAAGAGCCTTTACGAAAATGGTGCTCTGGATTTATACGATTGGTCATGGCGCCCTAATCGACCCTTTCAATCTGTCGCAGCAATATATCTTGTTGGTTTCGACGATTTTGTCATTTCTTCTCTTACGCCGACCTCCTCGCCGGAGCTTACTACCAACAGCCTTTACGAGCTGGCACTGACAACTCAAATCTTCACATACGGGGAAATACCGGTCAGGATAATTCGAAGACTGATTGAACTTGGGGGGGAGGCACATATCGCCAAAAGATGCGATTTATCGTTTGAGCTGCCAGTGAGCGGAATGGCTGTAACCCAGCACACCACAGCCTTCGAGTCGCTTCTCCATGGTGCACTAGCATGGGACCTGGCGACGGCTTACAAATATAGAAGAACAAGGTCGTTTCTTGATGTGATTGAGATTCTATCACAGACCTGCCCAGACTTGCATAGAAGGGCCATAGTGTTTCTTGTGAAGCACGGGGAGATTTTATCTCATAGGGTTCATCCTTTGCGACCATTTTGTGACGTGAAGGCCTGGGTTACGTTGGAGGTCGATTTACAATTTCTGGTAAACCGACTGCTGAATGCAGCCGACTTGCAAAAGATTCCAGCCGAGTCGAATAATAGGATCCACGAACTTGCTGCTTCGTTCACCAAGCCATATGCACGTGTTAGAAACATTATCCGCTGGCAAGAAGAAGAAGGCAAGGCTCATTGCTATCGAGTTCTCCATCAGGCACCATTAATGCAAATCATTGACAGGTTTGGGCTTGAAGCCGATTATTTTGAATCCTTTGAAGGCGTTATGAAAGCCATAGATCGTCCTAGCGATGGCTCTACCAATCCAGGGTCCCGTTTTCCATTGGATTGTTTCGAAGAGGTGCCTATCGAGGAAGAGATGGATGTGCTAATAAAAGAGGGTATAGGGCTACACAGAGAGGAGGATTTCAGATTGGTTAATATCGTTCCTCCGTTAGAGCCCGTAAGACTGCCAGCAGGTTCCCAAGATGCATTATCTATAGGGCTAATGAAGGCTTCTCTAGTACCTAAACCCTCTCATTCTTACTGATTTAAAACAATTCAGTTTTAACTAGAACTAAGAGAATAAGTAGGAGTGTTGTTTAATAGAGGGAAACTATAAAAAGCCACAATTGCTGGCCAACCTGTGCGCGCTTGAATGAGCACCTTGGAGCACACTACCAAAAGTCATGTGAGAGAACGCATCGATGTTCCATTTAACGGTATGAATTAAGACACCATCCAAAATCCTACCTATTCTTGACCAAGTAGACCATGGCCCTCGAAGTAGGTAGTTCTTTTCCGGCCTCTTCTCTCACCTGGCATATAGATCGTCCCTCGGCATGATGGAGAAGAAATGGCTAGCTTACCTAGACCACTAAGAACTTGCTCAACCACCAATTTGGTAAGAATTTGTTTCCGAAAAGTGTCAGAAAGTGTCCGAGTGAAGAGAGAAAAGAGTTCAAAGAGCTATATTATAAGTATGAAACCACCCTACCCTACCCTTCCTGCTCGAGGCAATTTGAGGGGATTGTTCCACCTGGTCTCTCCCTACTCACCAGCCAAACCTCCGGTCAATAATTTCCCCGAGACTCGTGCCGTGACTCCATTCTAGCTAGATCTTTCAACACCAGCTTCAGCGAGAGTAATACAAGATGGCCCACGCAAAAGCCCAGGACGAGCTTCAAAAGCGCTACGAAGACGGGCCCCAATCTCTGGATGATCCCGAGGTGGAACACATGATCAGCCAGGCGGATGAGATGATGGAAAAACCGGCACGGATGCTCATCGCACAAGCAGGGTTAGGACGCTCCAACACTACGGGCTTCAATCTTCTTGACCATGGATGTGGCACAGGTCTGATCGCATCTTGTCTTCAAGGAGTGATCCAGCCGTCAGTCCTGTCTTCCCAAGCACTCATTGAGTCATGTAACCATGAACTTCGCCATGCATATCATCCCTGACCCGGCAGCAGTCCTGCGTGGTAAGCCTTCGTACTAGACTTCGTAGCTTCTCAGTCATCTGACCATTGCTAAACAAGATACACTTCGCATTATTCGACCCATTGGCCTTGTGGCATTCAGTGTGCCGCATGCCAGTAACGGTCATGATGGCGGATGGGTACCAGATCTCCGATCAGCCCTCGAATCTCTCCCCTTCCAGACGTCGTTTCCAGACCCGATGCCGGTCGCCCTTCACGGTAAGCCAGAATGGGTAGAGCCTGAAGGTATTGAAGCGGAGCTGGTCCGTCACGGCTTCGTACATATCAAGGTCGAAACTGTTGATCTCATTCATCCTGTTGTCAGTGCCGGGGGCTTTTTAGCCTCATTTTGGATGATGATTAAGTGGATTATCAACACGTATTGGACTGTGGAGCAGAAGGAACAGTATGAAGATGGTTTCAATAAGATCTTGGTCGAGAATCTTCAGATCAAGCATGGTGGGAATGGCTGGGACCTCAAATCAACAGCTATACTTGTCACGGCTCGGACACCGCAGTAGCTTACATGCCAAATAGTGCAACATCTGTTTCTGAACTCTGACTAAATGCTTTAGATGGAGCTTAATACTAAATACATAATCATCTAAAAGAACCTGTTGAGAAACCCTATCTAATTTTACTGTTACTCCAAAGTTAACATGTTCTCAGGCATAATATCCGGATCCCCTATCTGATGCACAATCGACAAGAACTCCTCCGAAGAAATCCCAATATTATCAAGAAACTCCATATCACTCGTCATAGGATTCTGTAAACAATTCATTGAAGCCTCCATCCCCAACGTCTCCTGCGCAAGAAGTCGTTGCTGCTCCTCATCTGCTTTTCTCGCCAGATCTTCGTCTGTTACCGCGAGGGATAATGTCTGAAGACCCTGTTGTTGAACTTGAGCTACGAGTTCTTGGCATTGGGCTTCGAGATACACGAGCTCTTGCTTTCGAACAGATGCAAGGCGGTTGCCGCGGGCGATCATGTTGTCGAGGAGTTGGTGAATTAGTAGACGGCAGCCTTGGTCGTCTGCTACACCAGGGAAGAGGGCGGTTGCCATGTTTAGATGGAGAGCAGCGCCGAAGGTGAATTCAAGATCGTAGGGGAGGAAAACCTCTGCGAAGTGTTAGCGAAAGTGAGCGAGGCGTAAGGGATACATACCGAGGAGGCTGTACTCGCTGGTGAGGATCTGGAGTGTTTTGACGGCTGATTTAATACCCGTTGAGATAACAGCTGCTGTTTGGCCGAGGAATGCCTCTGAGTTCTCATCACCTGGTTGGCCAAGAATGTCAAGACGTTCTTTGAGGACTGATAGTAACAGAGGTCTTGTGGCGACAATAACGCACTACAAATGTTAAACGTGGAGTTGAGCGAGGATTGGAAACCTCACCTGGTGGTAAAGAAGCGTTATGTACTTTGTGCCTCGCGGCATGGTATCTACTGAGTTTTTGAATTTGAGAGATATGATCCTTTCAATCTCTTGAGCGTGGTGGGCGAGCGTGTGAAGGATTGCCTTGGTTTGCTCAAGGAATTGGTCAAGTGGTGTTTTCTCTGGCTTGTAAAGTGCTAGAAAGGTGAGTGATCGATGGAGCATTCTTCAGACTGAAACTTACTGGTTAATATCACGGAAAGCAAATGAGAGAGGTTTACTTGAAGACTGCGAGCGCTATCATCTTGTGAACCCACGTTTGGTGGGTTGACTGGTGTAGAAATGTCACTATCTTGAACAGACATAGGAAGTCCCAAAGAAGACGAGAAATGGCGATCCATGATGTACAATGTCCACCATAAATCACGACAAGAGGTCACTGTCTCACTACCCAGCTCATCGTCAGGTAACTGCGTATGCAAACCCTCCAACTGAGCGATTCGAATAGCCTGGCCAAGCTGTATATCCGTTAGTCATAGAACAAAAACTTCCTCAGAAAACCTACATATACGTGAGCCGACTCCCTCTCATCAATCGAATACAAATACAAGCCAACCATGGCCAAAACCTCTATCGCAAATAAGCTATCCTTCCAAAGCGCCGTATGATCCGGCATGAAACCCATCGCACGCACAAAGAACTTTGCACCGGGGGGTTCCTTGGATGGGAGAGGCTGGGAGGAGAGGAATGCTGTTCCAAAGGCTAGAATCAAGAGAAACTTGACATACCAGAGGCGGTTCTCCTCTGCCTTGTTCTGCGCGTCAGAATAGAAATCACGGATCTGATTCACGAATTCCACCTCGTCGAAGAGACGGTAGGTTTGGCCTAGGTGGAATTTAAAAGTGTGGAAGAGATAGATTGCGTAGTCGAGGGAGGGGAGGCCGGAGACATCGGCTTTGTCTAGTTGTGTCCACGAGAGCTTGTACACGTCTTCTTCGATTAGTTGCGGTGGTATGTTGAGACCACCTGGTTGGAGCTTATCGCCGAGCATGAGCATGAGTCGTAGGGTGAAAGACCACGTTGACCAAGGCGCAAGCCATACTATTACATGTCAGAATGTCTCACGTAAACCCGTTCTTGCACTTACTCCACGTGCGCCTGTTCTTGCGAGTGTTCTTGATGATCTTGGAGGGTATTGTAAACGCACTCGGCCAGATAGTCAATGGCGACTCGCCGGTTTGTTGCGAGTAAGACGAAGTAGCTGGATCTTTAACGGACGGGTCAGATTGTTGTTGTTGGGAGCCTACCGTGAGCGCAGGAGAAGCAAGACTAGTATCAACCCCGCACTCACCATTGACATCGTTTCCAAAAGCAGCATCGTTGGTGCGCTTCAATCTGGGAGAGTAGTTATCTCCTCCAACTTGAGATGATGATATTGGTGGCGAGCAATATGAGGGGTGAGAGTTTTGAGAGTGGACGGATGCTGCGTCCATTGATGAGCGGTATGGAGGTGGTGCTGAGGCCGTGGGAGGTGAGCGGTATGTGAATGCTGTATCTAGTTGACCTGCATTGTCGAAGATATTGCTTGACGGCGAGCGCTGTTGCTGCTCTACTCGTTTTTGAAGATCTTGGAGATATCTTGGGTTCGTCAGTGAGGGTTGAGATAAGGACACCTGGTGACGAACTTTTCTGATACCATCACCTTTGCCCCTCCCTCTGTGAAGCGACATTGCACAGAACGTCGCTGGCAATTCTGACACGGATCATCGCCGGAGCACTTGATCTTACTCTGCCTACACGCGACACAGCTATGACGCCGTCAGCCCAGAACAATCTCAGCCACCCAACGAAGCGGGGGGGCATATAGATAAAACTTAAAGCGGTGGACATATAACATACGCATTAGCTGTTCTTCTTGTCTTGCGAGGTTCCTTCTGCGCGCCTGATGCCATTATCTTACGATGCGTCGAAGAATCTTTTAGCGACAGAAGCTCCAAAAGGAAACAATTTTTTCCCTTTGGCTGCAGTGAGTGAGTGTGTCTTGGGTTCCCCTGCAGTTTAGGTGTGAGTGCCACTGACCCTAGCACCCCCGCACAAATGCCGGTCAAGTGATTGGGTTAAGACGTGGCCGTTACCGGGGTAATATTGGGGCGGACACTCGATGGGCTACCGGACTTGGTATGATGCATGATGAGGTATTGGGCTAATATTACTATTTGAGACATTCTAGAAGGATTAATGAAGCATTAACTACATCTATGCTTGGTCTGAGTTAACCCTTTGATGCTCTGTCAAGAGATAGGCTGTTTTCTTGACCAACGGTAGATGCAGTAGTTAGACAACCAAGTATCTCCATTCCCAAACGTGACCGGCCTCGCTCACTGGAATGCCGTGGCTAGATAAGCCCAACCTTTCCCCTCGCAACGTCAATGAACAACACACTATCGATCCCCACAATATGCACTATATCCCATTGGTCACTGAACCAAAGGCGTCTGGCCACGGGATCAATGCTCCCAATGAGGAAATAATTCTTCATATCGCACATTAGATCAGCAAAAGCGAGGTCGGCGTCATACATGACGGGTTTTCTTCACTCCTCACTTATCATCTTTGTGGGTGAGATATCGAGGGGAGATTGCAGGGATCGGGAAGTAGGCCCTCCCGATTGGTGAGGGCGTGAGATAATTACTCTTTTGGAAATGTTGAGCGGTGCTAGTGGGTTTGGTGTTGATAACGATAGGTTTGAGATATCGAGGTTTGGGCCAATTGTTTGAGACGGATTTGTAGCATGCATGATAACGGTTGCAGGAGAAAATATTATAGCGCCGGTAACATGCTTTGCACTAATTACTATTGGCTACAGCAATCCAAGTCCGGGGTTATGATAATGATACCAAAGCCATGATAATTTGGAGGTCGACGGCTCTTGTTCCGTAGTGCATTCTTCAATCATTCCAGGCCGATATCTTCAGCTGAAGTTTGTCAGCTCAAGTTTGTCTTTATTGATAACGGTCTTTCTACCTGCAAATGCCATTTAAACAGCTTATAGCCTTTTGATAGTGGGACTATCAGTGAGTGTAGACCGGAGGGTCATCCGACATGGTCCGGTGCCCTCTCCGCGAACGCAACTATCAATGACCGCAGATACTCCAACCGTGCACGAACTCTTCAGAAGCTAAACGCGTCCAAATGAAGTAGTCACACCCGACGTGGAAAGCTGAAGAACATACGGGGGTTAGGCTAAGCGACTCGATCTCCACGGCGGGGTAGAATGGTTCTTCAGTCTCGGGTCAGATATCCGAATATAGGATCGTGGGGTCGTTGTGTTGCTCCAAACCGTGAGTTGGAAGTTGTCTATGACCAAAAAGTGTTTGTATTTGAAAGGGATCTAGGACTTATTCCGCAGTGCCACGTTCGAACGTAATAACAGCCGCTGAGCCTTCGAAACAGGGACTCTACAGCTTACAAAGCTATCATACCTTCATTCTGTCTCTCGCTGACAATACAAACATAATTAACTATCACTATGTTGGACCTCCTCATAATCGGCGCCGGCTTCTCCGGTCTCCAAGCTGCAGTCACCGCCCAAAGGGCCGGTCTATCCATCGCAATCCTTGAAGCTCGCGACCGTGTCGGTGGTAAATCCTGGACTGTTCCTCTCAAAAACACAAATGGAAAAGCAGATCTTGGCGCAGCTTGGGTGAACGATGAACTGCAGCCCCTCGTATGGTCATATATCCAACAATTTGGCCTTGAGGGTCAGATCGTAAAGCAAAGGCTTGGCCATAAAGCTGTGATGGTCAGTGCAGATGGGGAGAGGATCGAGTTTCCTTTTGGGATTACACCTGAGGTAAGTTATCAGAGGAATGGAGTGCTTTGGAAGCCTTGTGAATGTGTGCTGATTGGGGTAGTTTACGCCTGGGGAAAAGAAGAATCTTGAGATGGTGAGGGATCATATTCAAGCTGAATCTTTGAAGCCGAATGGATTCCGAAATGAAGATGATCAGATCAGTTTGGATCAATATGTTCGGAACCTCGGTGGTGGCCCAAAAACTCTGGAGATGATAAATCTTTGGGTTCGAGTTATGCACGGCCTAGAATCGACTGAAGAATCAGCAGCTTGGTTCATCGAGTACTGCCGTACAAACCATGGTCTTATGGCTATTCGAGCAGATGATCGCACCGGTGGTAACTACATGCGTCTCAAATCAGGTACACAGTCCATCGCCAAAGGAATCGCTGACCTCATCGGCCATGAGAACATCCACCTCTCAAACCCCGTTTCCTCAATCGAGCAAACCAAACCAAGTGTCACTGTGAGAACCACGACTGGAAAGGTCTTCAACGCCAAGAAACTCATCATCTCGATGCCTTCAGCTATGCTCAAAGAACTCGCCTTCTCACCCCCTTTACCCGACAGAGCACAGGAGGTCTACAACAACACCAAACTAGGTCATTACAACAAAGCTATTGTGTTTTACACGAAGCCTTGGTGGCGCGATGTTGGCTTCAATGGCTTTTTCATGGACTTCCGCGGCCCAGCCTGCGTTGTACGCGATACCTCCTTCGACGAGGAAGGGGTCTACGGGTTCACTTGTTTTGTCAACGGTAAACCCGGTGAAGAATGGAGTAAAAAGGCTCCCGAGACTCGACGAAAAGTTATCCTTGATCAACTTGCGCACGCTTTCGGTTCGTTGGAAGCTCACAACCCACTTGAGTTTGTGGAACAGATCTGGCAGGATGAGGAATTTAGTCGCGGTGCCCTTGCACCTGTTACCAAGATCGGTCATCTTGCAAAGTATAGGGATGTTTATGGTAAGCCGGTAGGAAGCATCCATTTTGTGGGAACAGAGTATGCGACGCATTGGAAGGGATATCTTGAGGGTGCTTTGACGTCGGGACATGCTGGGGCGAAGGAGGTTATTGAGGCGCTGAAGGATCAATCTTGTCAGGCAAAGCTCTAACTGGGAAGCTTTCGCTGATTCTATTTACGGTATCAACAGTTGATTATATTTTTATGTTGGTCCTAGTGCTCGTAATGAAGTCCTTTCAATACTATCAGTGTGCCGTGTTTCTTCGGTAATGATCTTCCCTTCCTCAAAGAGCAGGGTCGCTCTACAAGAAAACTCTCGTTGGGAGCAACAGGTACCTGTGCAATTTCCTCCTTTGGCTGGCATAAGATCCAGCAAAGCCTTACGTTGGGATGGATCTTTAGACCGTTCATCATCCATTCCATCAGCATACCACATTACTTCCATCCAGTATTTACAGACCCGAATTTCCCTTTTCCAACATGGAGCCTGAGAATCACACAGATGTACCTGTTGATGCTATTTCTATTCCTCAGGTCCCTGTGCCAGATAATGCTCCAGATATTACGGATCCAGGCTAGCAGCACCGTACACGATGTGAACGATGGTTTGTACAGATCTGTAAGTTCTCTTTCCTCGTGATCCTGACTCTAGCCACCAACGACATCTATATTCTAGTTTGGGATCAGATCCTCCCCATTATACAAGTCTACAACAAACGGATGTGGCTAGAATATATCATCCCCCTCGCGAGTGAGGACGACCTGGTCATGACCGCCATAGCATTACTTTATTCGAGCCATATGAACGGGACGGGCACCGGTGAATCCGCTGAACTTTATCACGACCACTTCCAACATCTCTGGTCTACAAGAGCAAGGAATAATATCTTGAGCGCTGATGAAAACCACGCGACTCTTGTCGCTCTTCTTATTTTACTGCTTTCTGCGATTGGCGGCCCAGATTCGCTTTTCGTCCTGGCTGAAGCCATGTTGCTTAGATGTTTGCTGGCTGATATTTCGGCGCCCATGACTCAGACTGCAGAAGAACACGCTGCTATCAAGCAATGGGTCCGTGATGAGATGGATCTCATGAAGAAGATAAGGGAGGATCCGAGTTACAGGTTTCAGTCGCCGTCGGTTTCGGATAGGATGGATGAGAGCTGATGGGGGAAGTATAGCTCAAGATGTCATCCTTAAGAATGGTAGTCTAAACTTGTTACAGTGATCATAAGATCACCCTTAAATTATGAAAATTGTCCCAATAAACCACGAACAAGGTTACTAAACTTTTTATCACAAAAGATGAGAGCAATAAAGATATACGCCTTTTGTGGCTCTCCATCTCGGTTTGATGTCTGCGCTGGACTCAGCATCGGCTTTTAAAGCCGAGATTCCTGAAGCGGCAATTCAATTCTTGGGCGGCGCATCACGAAGGAAAGCGGCGGCAAAAGGTTTGACGGAATTGGGCGAGACTTCCTCTCCTTCCCTTTTGGTTCAGCTTATCATCTGTGATTCTGGGTCTTCCCCGCATCATGATTTTTGCATAAAACAACAATCTCCAACTTCTGATCTACCTGGCACCTTTGCAACTCGACTTCAGCCGGACACAACAGATCTTTGCATCGCTCTGTATTGGGGATTGCCATATTGACGCCAACTTCAATCGCCGCCCACGATGTCGTCCCTCGCCTCAACTCTCAAAGATCACTCGCTCCTCGTCGAAAGCCGGCCCTTCATCAACGGTGAATGGCCTACCTTCACCTCCTCTCAAACCTTCCCAGTCTACAACCCTGCGACAAATACCATCATCGGCTCAGCGCCAGAATGCGCTGTCGAAGACGTCAACAGCGCAATCTCCGCAGCTTCAGAGGCCTTTCCCTTGTGGCGCGCTCAATCAGGCCGCCAGCGCGCAAAGACAATTCGCAAAATTGCAGAGCTACTCGCAGAGAATAAGTCTGACATCGCAAAGATCATCACTGCGGAGAATGGAAAGGCAAAGGCGGATGCTGAAGGGGAGGTGATGTTTTCGGCGGGGTTCTTTGAGTGGTTCGCGGAAGAGGCGCCGAGGCTGTATGGTGATGTTGTCCCGCATTCGCAGCCAAATTCGAGAATCCAGGTAATCAAGCAGCCCGTTGGTGTTTGTGGTTTGATCACGCCGTGGAATTTTCCTTTGGCGATGGCTGCGAGAAAGGTCGCTGCTGCGCTTGCGGCTGGGTGTACGGTTGTGCTCAAGACGGACGGTGTGACACCTTTCTCGGGGAATGTTCTTGGAGTTCTTGCTGAGCGCGCTGGTCTGCCAAAGGGAGTTCTCAATATCGTCACCGCTCTGCACAACACACCGAGCCTAGGTCTTGCGCTGTGCGAGTCCGATGTCGTCAAGAAGATCTCCTTCACGGGCTCGACTCGGGTGGGCAAGATCTTAATGAACCAGTCAGCCAATACTCTCAAGAAGCTATCTCTGGAGCTTGGAGGTAACGCACCCTTCATCGTCTTTGATGACGCCGATCTCGAGACCGCGGTATCCAGCGCCATCATTGCCAAGTTCAAGGTCACTGGACAAACATGCGTTTGTGCCAACAGGATCTATGTCCAGGAAGGGATATACGAGCAATTCTCCAAGCGCCTAATCGAGGAAGTTGGCAAGTTCAAAGTCGGTAACGGTGCTGACCCTTCAGTGACACATGGCCCGATGACGACGAGTGTAGAAAAGGTTGAAGAACATGTCCGAGATGCCCTCAAGAAGGAAGCTACTCTTCTCTTCGGCGGTCAGCGATTACCCGATCTCGGAAAGAACTTCTTCCAGCCGACAGTCCTGGGCGATGTTGACGACACGATGGCCGTGACTTACGAAGAGACATTCGGTCCTCTTGCGGCGCTGACCAAGTTCAAGACAGAAGACGAGGTAATCGCAAGAGCAAACAAGTCTGACGTTGGACTGGCTTCCTACATCATGACAAACAACCTTGCGAGATCGTACCGCGTGCAAGAGAGATTGGAGTTTGGTATGGTGGCCATCAACACTGGTGTCATCTCAGACTGGGCCGCTCCGTAAGTGCAAACACTTGTTGAGGGAGACCAACGACTGACTGTTTGTAGATTTGGTGGTGTCAAACACTCTGGTATGGGTCGTGAAGGCAGCAAATATGGCGTTGATGATTACATGGTTCTCAAGACGATTGTCACTGGCGGTATCGATACTGTGTACAACCCAAGGCTGTGAAGAAGGAGCATCTAGAGCAAACATCCTTAAACAAACGGCATCGCAACAACAATTCTGTGCCCTATCAAGGTTGCTTCCACTGCATTCCACGTCATGCTCCTGCAGTGAGAGGAGTCATTGAGGCTGTTGTTGCCATTATTTGCGCGAGCTGCAAACGACAGTGGCAACGACTGACAGCATATCACAATTCTCACATCCACCAAATCGCATCATCTCCTCTCCCAAACATCTTTCCATCAACCCTCCCATCGATAAGACAAGAGAAACATCACCATAACCCCAACATCAGACATGGATTCCGACAAGATGAAGTCGTCACCTCCAAAGCCCTCTACCCCCATCGACATCCCGCCCGGCCGAAACCGCGCCCATGCTGTCGACGACTTCCCTCAGCACCATCCTCCCTCCCGCCGCTCAATCCTCCCCCAATCTACGAGCCCTGAAAGTAACGCCACCTCCCCTCCTGGTCCTCGCCAGACCGTCAACCCAAAAGACCCTCTTCGCTCTGTCGACTCCCTCAAACTCCAAGTCATCCGCAACCAGCGGGGCGAAACTCTCGGTCTCAAAGTCGTTGACATCAACGCCGTCAAACCTGAACGAGCAAACGTTTTTGCCCATCTCCCTATTGGCAACCATAACTCTGGTCTCGTGTTTGATGTCGAGAGTGCCGAGGCGATGAAGAAGTTGTATACCAAGGCGTCGTCGACGATGGCCTCGGGCCGGATCATGGGGATTCTGTTTGCTCCGCCTGGGGTGGATGCTGGGGGTATTGCTAGGGATGCGGATTGGTCATTCTTGGACGATGACGTTGGAGGGGGAGATGCGAAGGAGCAGGAGAGTAAGGATGAGGATCGGTCAACTGCTCATCCCCGGTTCCCCCGGCATTTGAGGAACCTCAACCTTAGGGATTGAAGATTTGCTCTGATGGTTTATGGGGAGATACGCGATCGCTGGTGATTACAGAAATTACGGTTGCTTTGTCTTGGAGGGAACATGCCCAAGAATAGCTGTTTGACACAGACGAGTCTCTGCACTGGAGTAGCAATAAAGAACACGAATTGCTTCACGCGAGTCTCTTCCCAATGTTGCCGATGTCGCTTTGGTAATCCCCTCATTACTCTCACCATTTTGCTCCCTGGTCATCATCTGTCTTGCCTTTTCAGCTTGTGATACCTACCCGTTTTGCAGGCGCATCAGGTCACCACGGGAGCTATCTTTCTCGTCCTGTTCTCACTGCTCCTCTGGTCATCATCGCCACCAAGTCCGTATTCATCCTCTTTCTGGCTGCTTCTCATTCCACGCCTTCCATCGGTGATATCCCTTGTGCCTTCCCTCCCCATGATCCGGTTGCTGTCTCGTCCAGGCATCCTGTCAATTGTACCTCCCTCACGTCGTCAAACGAGCAAGTGTTGTACTCCGATTTGAGGTGGCCACGCGTCTCTCTTCCCACATCAACAGGCTCTTTCCCGAACTGTTTCCCTCCCTCAACAGTTACCTCAATTCATTCTCAGCAGCCCCCTTCTTCTCTTCTCTTCTTTTCTCTTCAGCATCATCATCTTCTCAATTGTCATCTTGTTCATCAACTGCGCCATCACCATTATCATCAAAACACACAGCAGACATATATCGTCTAAACCATTATCACTTCACATCATGCAACCAGCCGACCCAAATGGACCTTCGCCTAATCAACCACCACCGAACCCACCAGGCGCCTCCCGGCGAATCCCTCTCCCACCACTGGGTACGAAATATGCCCATCTACCGACACACTTTACAGGAATCAATCTCGGCACACGTGTCGACCACATGGGATGGAGATGCCATGATGTGTCCTGCTTAGCGGTCAACTCCATGCCCTATCCCCGCTGCAGGCAATGCCACCTTCAACGAGAAGCAGGTGCCCACGCTCTCGGTCCCCAGTACGAGTTTATCGGGATCCTGGTGGATGTGGACGGGCGCACCAACGAACACTGGTACTACCCTAATACTCTGGCTATACGAGAAATGTACCGGGGAAGTGCACCGAGGGATCTTCTCAAGGCTGGCTCCCCGCCTGTGTCTTGGCGTCCTGGTGGTATCGATGGAATCGATGGAATCGATCCCAACAATAATCCCCCTGCAGCTGAGAGGTCTGGCAACCCTGGAGTCGGTGCCCAGAACAATACGTCTGCGCCTTTGGGGGCCGTTGACGCTGTTGGAACCAACGGGGAGGGGAGGGCGGCAAGGACTGGTGAGGTGATTGAAGTTAGCCATATGGGAGGGGGGGTTGAGAATGGGCGGAATGGGGAGGTGGATGATGAGGATCTTGAGGAGCCGGAAGAACAGGAGGAGGAGGCACAGTCAAAAAGGCAGGGGAAACAGCCGGCAAGACAGGCACAGTTGAAAAAAAGGAAGAAACAGCCGGAGAACGGAGGAGAGGCCCAGGGAGGAGCTACAGGTAGTGGGAGTGGCAAAAGGAAGAAGAGAGCGTAATTGATGGTAGGGTTAGCAAGATCATCACTTCACAACAGCAGAAATACAGCAAAGGGTTAGCGGCATGATATGTTCTCTCCCGTGGCTTGATTAATCATGGCCTTTGCCTCATAGTAGCTGGCGGAGTTGTCGACTTGTGTGGATTTCCAAGTTCGTGAACAGACACTATCTTGAACGACTTGTCAAAGGTGGCCAATACACATATAGAACATTTACCGCCGAGATGAAGTACCCGATATGCGACTTCAAGTTTCTGAGTCTTCGCTTTTGCTGGTTGGAAGACTTATGAGCCGCGTTGTAAGAGAAGCCTTGCTTGGAGAGAGGTTAGTGATTGAAGGACTTCCGCTTCTGATTGTAAGTCTGGGCAGCTGACTGAATGTAAGACTCGGTAGAGTGACAATTTATCAATTGGAGTACCGTAATGGCAGTGATTTAGGCATTCTCACTCTGTGATTGCGATGTGAGTAACCAGCCTGTCGGCCACGTGTATAAGTTGCAGGTCTTGCCACCATCCATGACCACTCCTCACAACACACAGCAATACAACACAGTGACTACAAGCCTCTTCATACCGCCTAAACCTATACGCAATGGATTCTACACAATCAGGCGATCAGAAAGTTTACGCCATGACTCAGGAAGGCGACGACTTCATCCCCGAGACCGCTAAATGGACGTGTAAATCTGGACCAACAGAATCTCAGTGCGGACACGTAAATAAGGATATAAGGAACAAGATTTGCGAGAGATGCCATAAAATACGCTCTAATGCAGTCGCACACGTTGAGGAGAGGCTTGATGAGGGGGTAAAGGGGAGGTGTTGGGAGATTCGTGGTGTAACTGCCTACGGGGCTGAAGTTTGGACGTATGAGTTTGGTCGGAAGAAGAATGAGTTTTGGGCTCGTTTTGATTCGCATCCGAATAATCTCTAGGGTGTGAGGCGAGAATGGGATTGCTGCAATGGAATAGGTTTCTCTCTTTGACTCTGTGACCTCGAAGTTGTGAGCCAGATGTGTTGTGTGTAGGTGAGATTCGTGACTGAGAGCTTTTTTCACCACGTAGAAATGAGTAGGGAACTCGCACTGAAAATACAACATGTCTTTCATTTGCGCTAATGTAAGCTTGAGTAAATACAGTGTCTGAGTAGATGTAACTGACTCAGGCTACTTACCGCGTCTGTGAGAACCACATCAGCTTTGACTATGGATACAGAGAGGTGAGTGAGAGGGTGTCATGGCAGATTGACTGTGTATCAATGACTGCAGTTGTACGGCAATTATTCGAGCACAGGAACACTGAATGATTTCTCGTGAAGTTCCACTGACATCCAGCATGTATAAGTTGAGAGTCTTTCTCACTTGCCAGACCAGTCCTCCAAGAACACAACACTCAGCAATACAACAACAACTATCTCTCTGCACAACTACTATACCTGTACCTATATCTCTACGCAATGTTTACAACACAAGAAAATCCTCCGGACTGTTACATGTGGACTGAACACGGCGACAGCTATGTCCCAAAGAACGCTAAATGGACATGCAATTTTGGAGGACTTGATCGACCCTACAAGACGCCATGCGGAGGGAGAAATGAAGATATAGAGAACAAAATTTGTTCTAAATGTGGAAACATACGTTCATACGGTTCGACTGCCGACCTTGGAGAGAAGAAACCGGGCTGTGACAAACCAGAGCCGCTTTGGATGGTGGACGTTGAGGACGATGGCAGTGAAAGTTGGACAATTCATTTCATTATTGACTGAACCGAGGAGAGATACTCAGCAGTTTCGGCTTGGGGAGGAATATGCATAGAGATTCTTGATTTCCTTAATTAATGGAAAGAAAATGAGCTGATTTGACGAATGTGCCGTGTCTGCTTGCCTCTTAGCTTTGACCTCGTGATTAGTAGAACCTAGTCCTGCGGCTGCGTGCATACTTCTCTGAGCCAAAACATTTTCTGAATAAGAGGAATCAATTAGTGATTATGGTTTGCCTCCAGATACTCGATTGGCACACTGACTCAGATCGTAGACATGATAGTGAACTGCCATATGGCCCATTCACACTTCTCCCTTTGTCGACACACTGCAAGTTGTCCTGTTACACTGAACAAAGGTTGCCAGAACATATACACACAGTGATTAAAACTTATTGACTGTGGACAAAGTCCTTGGAGCTACTCTCCAATGATACATAAAAGTCCCAAACGTCCCCTGCTTGTTACACAGGACATCAAGCACTCCAGGTCACACAAACCTAACAGCACACAACTCTATCATTCACTTCAACCAAAATGACCAAGCCCACTGAAGTCAATATCGCCTATTGGCTCTGCATGAATGACATCTGCACAAAGCATAACGACATTGACAAGAAGAGATGTAAAGGGTGCCAGGCTGAACTTGCTCAGGGAGCAACGGCATTGAATGCCGACATTGACGTTATTGGGCAATGCGGGGGAATTGATTCAAATGGGAAGCCGGTATGGAACCTTCACGAGGCAAAGAGGGTGGACATTTAGGACGCGAGGGCTGAGAGAGCCACCTATGACTATGATTAGTGGTTGAGACCGGACGGCGAAGGGGCAATACAGTCACAATTGACCTAATAAATTGATACAAACCATTTCTACCTTGGCTAATTATGTGATGGCTGTCGAGAAATGAGTACGGTAACTTCGTGATCGTTATGTGGACTGTGCTGTGATAAGGTTGAGAGGTTAAAGGAGGCTTCAGCCCTCAGGGCACAAAGTTAAAAGAACGCCCGAAAGCACATGCGGGCAAAATACGGGCAAAATACTTGTTGCCTTCGCTGTTTCTTAACATCTTACTTTTGGCTGGAAAGCTAGATATCCTGATGAATGACTCTAAAGGCGTATAAATAAGTGCTGCTGCCCTTTGAGTGGATTGTGCATCAGACCGTGAATTACATACACAACACCCGAAAGGACTGCCTCAGGGATTCAGTGTTGTACATTTCCCCCTCATCCATCCTGTTCTCACTACATATCTTCAACTCGAATCAATCTCTACACTTGCAGGGACTCTGACTGTCCCCATCCTTGTTCTATATAAGTCCTCGCAATGCACCACCTGATATCGAGCAAGCAACCTACAAACAACCAACGCATACCAAACCCCCGTATATTCACTACAACACATCATGGCTCCATTCACTGCCATTAGAGGCGATCACACCATGTGGCAATGTATGACCACAGTCAACGACGAGTACTGCCAAGTCAACCCCATGTTTGAGTTTGGCCAGGACGGCAAAGGCCGTGCCATCAGAGTACCAATCTTGGGATGTCCCAAATGCAAATCAGCTCGAAGAGTCGGAACTCTGGCGTTGAGGGATAATTGGGAGATAATCGGACACCTTGAGGTTTATACGGCTCTGGGAGAAGAAGTCTGGAAATACGATGTGCCTTACGATGTTGAGGAACCGGATCCGGTCTTGTATACAACAGTCGCGTGTTTCGGTGACGACGATATCGCATATGACCGAACCGCTAGTGGGAATTAGAGAGGCAATGATCCGGACTCGTGCGCTGAGGCAACTTGGAGACATCATGATACGAGCATAGTTGAGGCAGAGCTCCAACAACGGGATTATATTTTCTTCCCGGTCTCCATTTAGTTCCAGAAGCGATCACCAGCTCACCACTTGACTTCAATCCGTCAGGAGATCCCATTCTAAGTCTCCAATTTGTAATGCCACATTTCAACTTTATCTTGACCAACGCTCCCAAGAACTCCAAGTTTGTGTCCCTCTCGAGTCATAGCATATGCAAATCTGGGCTCGCGAATCGAAGCGCACTTTTTGCACTGGTTCTCATTCATAGCCATTGTTATATTGCAGAAACCTCCGTTAGGCTCAGGTCTGACGCACTTCCAATGGGTGTGGTCGGCACGAGCGGTGGTTGTACGTTCCATGAGAGGCATGTTGGGTAATGAGATGAGATTTTGAGGGCTTTGGATGCTTGTGTTGTATGATTGTAAATGTTGGCGGTGCGTCTTCTGGATTGTCTGGGGGGTATGTTTCGGGTTGGGTACTGTAGAGTTAAGTGGGAGATAGTCAAGTATATATCGATGCTATCTTGTCCTCCTGAATCAATGCTTGCAGAACACAGTGTAGCACTGCAAAAGATGTATATGAGCCGTGTATCACATCACAAGAGGCTCAGACAGACTGTAAGCCCATGTCTCTTCACTGAGGCCACCATGGAGAGACTGGCAAGATTCGTGCCAACTGCACCAAGAACGCCCACATCTCTGGCTTCTCGTTGCCAACCGTAGATAATCTACTTCTTTTTTATAGATCGAGATTGCTGTATTGCAGTTGTCTATGGGCACGAGAAGCCTGCTGCTCTTGGCAATGTCACGATAGCTCAACTACTTTGTTTGTATAAGCTAATCCATTCCCCTCAACTACGAGGTCCCATTTGTAGTGATACTATAAAACCACATATCCCTACCCTCTGAGTCCACAGAAACAAGCACCCCTAGCACATCATCATTACTCGCCAAGGCAAGAGAACGGATTCCACGGTCTTTACCACAAACACTGCACGTCTTCTCTGTCATGGCATTCTTCTGATTGCAGATGCCTCCATTGACAAGTTTGTTGCTGCGCCAGTGGGTATGATCACTGCGGACGACGGATGTTAGTGTTTTGAAAGGCATTTCAGATACGTTGGTCAGTCTACATTTGGTACTGCGATTTAAAGAAGAAGATCTCAGCGGAAGTTCTGGAGTGTATTAAGTGTATTTTATAGTATCCGTCTACACTGAATCAGAAGTCCCATACCAGGATATCTCTTTTGGTCCAACGTCCATCAACTACAGCCGTTCCTGGCTGTCTCATAGTGCCAAATCGTTTCGCCATTCGGACCAAAAGATTGCAGAGTCCCAAGTACGTAGCCGTCGTGCGCCTCTGCCAATGAGCCCTCCTTCCGGCTGTTACCACATGAAGTACATTGCTCTTGACTCATCTCAAATCGGGCATTGCATTCGTCCCCTTCTGGTCCATGCCTACAACGCCAGTGAGTGTGGTCGCCGCGGACTTTGGATTGTGTTGCTGTGTCGATATCAGGGGCAGGCATGATTGTGACGTGGTGATGGTTTTTGTTCAAGAAATTGAGTTGTTTGTAGTTGTAGTAAGATGTTGCTGTGTGTGCTGTTTGGGTGAGAGTCACTGGGTGAAGGGTAGCTATTATACCTTAACGTTGGTCATTGTTCACGATTATTATTCATTGTCTGGCAAACGTCTTTTCACTGATCTTCTGTACTCTGTGCCGTTCATATCCATGAATCAGTAAACTACAGTCAATATATCACTATTCACCTAGCTACCTGTGTTCACTGCCTAAGGCTAACCGTCTATCTCACATGCCCCCCATCACAGTGTCAGTGGGCTCCTCGCAACTCTCCTCCTGCATTTCTGGCAAATAATCCCACCACTCATTTATTCCCTTGGTGATGCTAACAAGCATACCAAGATACATCTCATCCTCGGTCATCGCAGTTGCGCCGACTCTGCGAATACACCAGCATTTCGTACAGACTCGCTCGCTCATCTTCATGACCTCTTGACACTCAACGAGCTCACCTTTGTCGTTGTTTCCAGCTTTCTCGTTGCACTGCCACTTGGTGTGGTCTTTGCGGACGGTAGTGGTTGGGCCAGACATGATTGCAGTTCGATAGTGTTGCGTCTACAATGAAAGAAAAAACAATCTTGAATGGTAATGAATGATAGAAGAGGAAAGGATTTGTAGAGTCAATTTATAATCTCTTGGTATGCTGGATCGCTGAACGCCGGTATGTCGTGTTCACCTTATCAAGTCTGAACAGGCTCAATTGTGCACGCCGTTCACTTTGAGATTATAGTGCCATTTTTCTGTTCCATCAGCCTCAAAGTCAACAAGGCTACCCAACACATCATCGTTCTGAGCCAGAGCAACAGCGTTCTTCCCGCGACGCTGTCCACAATGCGTACAAGTGTTGGCGTTCATGCTCATAGTGGCAACGCATCTGGCACGGCCTGGTTCATCGATCATTTTGTGGCATTGCCACTTTTTGTGATCACCCCGAATTTGGTTTGTTGTCTTTTGAACATTCTCCGACATTGTGCAGATGCAAGTGGTGGTGTTGCGATGTGGATATTAGTGAATTGTTGGTGTAAGTGAGTGCGGGGATAGGATTTTGATCGTCGTGTAATTGATGAGTGAGTGGAGGAAAGGGTGAAAACCGACCCAGATATATAAATGAGTTCATGCAGGTGATTGTGTGGATGATTAGTGATTCGACGATAAGAGTTACACACGTACCGATGGGAATCTCATTCAGAGCACTCAGTATCAGTGATTGCTCGTGTTTGCAGCTCAAATGACCCCAGAGCCAGACAATTACTGAGTAATTACAACTCAGCGGACACACAATGAGTAAATTTCGCCGAGTGGCTCATCAATAAACTAAATTCTGTGTCCTGAACATATCCCCTGTAGGATTGTAATTATGACGCCGAGTCACATTTTTCCGGGGACAAATCTTGATCTCTTTATGCATGGAACGTTGACAATGCCCCTACAATCCTATAAATAAATGAATACATATCACATTGATAAAGCCTAAATGCCCATGTTTGTGATGCAGCTCTTCTCCGAGCAATACTTTACGAGATTGGCAATCGTGCTGTGACGGTAGAGACGATTTCATTGCAATCTGAATTGAACAGGTATTAATCCTAATGCTTAAAGATTCCATTATTGTATTTTCCAACCATATTATAGAAAGATATAATATCTTAGCGTAGGGGAGCTCTGCTGTGTTGGCGCTGGAACGTTATGCGCGAAGCTTACGAGTAGAACAAATGGTCGTCACTTAGGACATACACAAGTCAGATGATCAATAGCACTCATCTGAAGTATTGCTCAATTTACAATTCTATCGCAATAACATCGTATTGTTGCCATGGACATGATTGCTCAAAGTCCCTCGTCTTGATCACTTTCCCTCCTCCGTCCCCTTCCCATTCGCGCCACTTCGAACTAGCCTTTTGGGATTCCACGCCCAGACTTCTCTGGTCGTCTTGACCAATTGCCCAATGATGTTGAATTCTTTATCCACAGCAGCTGCTCCAGGCTGACGGTCGGTTTTGCAATGAACACATGCTTGGTCGGGCGTTTCGTTGACGGTTGGCTTTTTAGCATTGGCACAGCGTATGCATCGCCAGTGGGTGTGTTCGCTTATTCGGTCCGCTTCGTCAGACATTGTGGTTGTATACAATGAGAAATTGTTTCTGTTTGGGTTGCTATGATGTTTTTGTGCTGTTTGTGTGTTTATGGCTTTGGGGAGGGACAAGGAGGATGACTTATACCAGTTGGTAGTGGGAACTAATTACGAATGAACCACAGCCAATACGATCGATACACTTGCCCCAGTACTTGATTCTGGTATCTTGTAGTGACCATTTGCCATAGAGCTGCGTCTCTTGAACACTGTTCACGGACACGAGCTTTGTTCAGAGACAAAGCAACTGACTCATCCCGGCCTTCATGTGCCCCTAAACCCGCACTAGAGGGGTTTCTCAAATCAATTATTACTCTCATTCATAACACAAGAGTCCTAGTCTGCCGAATTTCTAAGTCAAGAACAGCAATGAAGTGTTGTAAGATCAACGACGTTCAGAGAAGAGCAAAGCCCTTAAACAGAATATACAGCTTGTGGCTCGCTTTTATCCTTTTTCCACAGTCGGTCACAAGTTAAAAATTAATACGAGTAAGCTTAAGCTGTTTTATTGTGTCGTATCTTGAAGACTAATTTCCAAGGTAGGCCTTTATGAGAAAACAGAAGCATGCGTGACCAGGAACCATGAGAAAGCCTGTCTGTCTTCAAACCTGAAGATGCCCAGATTGAACAGACGTTGTTGATTGTCAATTCGAATGCCTCCCATGGCTCCCATTGTGGTCGCTCCATTAATCCCCCTTCCCATCAGTTCTCAGTCCGTTGGTCTTGTCTCTATTGGTTCTCGATCCGTTCTTGGTCGCTTTATTTGTAGTTCCTCATCTCATAGCTCCATCGTCCATGGTCGTTCAGATCGGCGCGTTACTCATGGTTGAATCGTCGCTGATAACCTACTCGAAGTACTCCCAAATCGTGATACCGTACAAATAGTCGTGGCTGTAGAGGTTCCCGATGTGTTGGTTATTTTCATCCATGGCCCTCACCTTCTCCACACCGTTGATCTTGTAGCCGCACATTCGGCATGTCATCAGTTGGACATCGTTGAGGGTATCGCAAGTCTCAAGGGAACGACGACTGATAGGCTGTTTGCATTCCCAGGTCTTTTGTCTGGGATCTGGTTTATCCGATTGACGCATTGTGTAAGATCAAAAGGGAGTAGTAGATAGAACTGTCAGGATGGGAATGTTGATGAGTTGTGAATGTAAGTTGTGTTTGTGTCTGAGTGCTTGAGATGGTGGGTTGAAGTAGCCGTCCAAAGAGCATTTATATCAGTGAGGATTGTAGACTGGTCGACAGACTCGTCACTGCAATTGAGATTGATTCACGCTCAACGGCAACTTGGAAGTAACACTGAGGTCAGCCTGGAGCAGCTATTCAGTCCTGATAAGTGACTCTCGTTCAGAGACAGGAGAACTCATTCTCATAGCATTCATTCCAATCACCTAGCTAACTATCAGTGAATATTATTCAACCTGAGAGTGCAACAGGGACAAACAATACTACTCACAGAAGCTTGGAAGCGTACCTTTCGTCCGCACATCGCCTTTTGCGGTCCACGAAGCAATCGTTCGTCAAACAAACTCTCTTTCAATAGATATCACTAACAGCAAGAATCTTTTACCACCGATAGTTGTAGAAATGAAGTGTATTGATCCCCTTGATCTCCTCGTCCACACGAGCACGGTCGTCGATGGGTGCACGCAAGTGAAACAGTTAAACAAGCAAAGCTGAACCCGTTCTATTATTTATTGTCTTAGGAGCATAGTCCACAGACTTTAATAGACAAATAACAAGCATTAGTGATCATAAGCCATGATCTATCCCACGAAAATCCTGTCTCCAAATCTGCTGATTCCCAACCCCAAAGTGACAGACGCAGTTGAAGTGTCAATTCCAACGTCTTCCGTGGTTCCCGTTGGTGGCATCTCCATTGGTTTCCGCTCCGTTGGTAGTTCCTCCACTGGTTGCTCCATTTGTAGACTATCCGTCGATTGTGCCTCTGGGTACAGGCGCATTGTTCCCAGGCGCATCCTCCAAAATTGGACCTCGGTTGAGAAAGTATTTGAAGTATTGCCATTTGGCCACACCATCTTGGTAGCTGTGGAGCTGCCCGATATGAATTTCATTCACATCCTCGGCCCTCACCTTTGTCCAACCATCGACTTGGTAGTCACACTTCATGCACACCAGGTCGTTGACATCGTTGTGGGTGTTGCACTCGGTACCGTTGAACTTCTCTTCGCACAACCAGGTCTTGTGCTTGGGGTGGACGATAGTTGTAGGGGCTGCTAGTAGAGGGTCGGATTGAGACATGATGAAAAGGGAAGTATGGGCGTGTGAGGGTGATCAAGTTGTGAGTTATGTGTGTAATTGTTTGCGTGTAATCTGTTTGTGTGTCTGAGTTGCTTGAGCTGGTGAGTTGAACTTGGCGGTACAGAGACCATAACTTATACTCGTCAAGACCAAGGAACTACCGATAGGTTCATGACTACCATAGTTATCGATTCACCATCAGCGAGTCCTTGACACTGACAATGAGGCCAGAGCACAGCATCTATTCAGCCTTGTGTGGGGTCTTCTTCAGAGTCAAGGCATTTGAGCATCACAGCGATCGGGTCAAGTAGACAACCATCAGTGACCAGTGCGCGACCTGCGAGTGAAACAGGGACAACGACTGTTCACAGAGATTTGTGGTACGGTTCCCTCTCCATCACATTCTAACATCACCTCAGGGAATGTCCTTCAACTTCTACCACCATCGGCAAACCTTTCCTACAACCAATCTGCATGGCTTCGCTCTCCGTCCTAGCAAGGTGCTCGACAAGTGCACGCCCACTCGAAACGTGGAATGCCAATGAATGAACAAGATAGATCAGGAGAGGCATATCAAGAACGGTAAACCTCGCGGGTCTAAGTACTGCGGTGCCATTACTGTGGCTGTAGATAACTCTATCATATTGGGGATGGGGTGATGCCTGTATTAAAGGGAGTGTTCAAGGCAGTCGCCTTCCTGAGACCACCCACCCAGTTAAGGTAGCCACTTCTGCGAGTTCGGGCATGGGCCTTACCTTACTGAAGAGGTCTGTTGTTTTCACAGAAGGAGCTGAAGTTGGCGTCACTTGCAGGTATTTCAAGTACCAATCATGGGTCCTTCTTGATCTCGATCACATTGGATCCGAAAGCTTCTTCCCTTGCTCTCCATCACACTCCGAATCATTAAGATCCCAGAAGCTCAACCATCAATACTGCTTCAAATACATTAAAATTCATCAACCACTTACTATACACCGTTATGTATCAATCTCAACCCCCCGGCCATGAAGCGCAATTGGCCTCTTCTGGCAAGCACGAGTACTCAAACGCAATGAATCGACGTCTGGAGCACCTTTACGCGCTCGGTGTGCTGAGGGTCAGATTGCAAGCAGACGAGGGGGGCTTACCCACATTCGTCGCTATGCCTGACAAGCCTCTCAATTTATTGGCACCAATTAATTATTACCGAGTGTGTGCGATGATCGCCATCATTGACTCAAGGCACAAGGGGCGCACTCACCTGGCTTAGGGAAGTCTGTCAGTGACGCTTCGACGCTTGTTTACAGCTGGGGAAAACGATTTTGCTACGAAAGCCTCCACAGCAGTCAATTCTACTAGGCTTCAGATTTTAGGAGACCTCAAAGCTATGGACGAGTTTCTAGCAAAGTCGACCACCAGTGCCACGGCTGAGAAACTGGCGGATGGTGAATCCCTTACGAGGTATCCTCAGGCCATGGCCCGTATCATTAGATATGATGGCGTCATTTTGGGTGATCAGGGGTGGTAGGACGACGTCGCCCATGATGTTAAAGAACATGACGAAAATTCCTTCGCCATCATCAACGCTTTTTCCGAGGAAATGGCCCAAGCCAGAGACGAAGACCCACGCGCCTATGCCTGGGGGAATGTGGCACGGGCAGCCGAACATATGAGAAAGTTCCTGGAATGGCAACTGAATGCTGATCTATTGGTGTCTATGAACCAGGCAATGAATGGTTTAGACTTGCCATCGGATGATGAGGGAGTGCGCTCGGAACAAGAGGTTGACTAATGTCTCGGGATATACTTCATCCACCATTCCTGAACTCACAACAACGATCAAGGCCACGACAGTCCATAGTCACTACACTGTTCAACTCTCCCAAGCCACAGCCCATATTTCCCCAGAAATTGTTAGACATGGCCGCCATAGTGAACAAAAGGCCGTTAATCCCCATACTCTAGCGAATCAATAACAAGCATTTCAGAGGCGATACTCATGTTGCAACAGTGGATGTATTCTCAATGAACTACAGCTGCGCGTATTTCTCGATGCTCGTATCCACATACCTCTTTACAAGATCCATCCCCTAGTACACGTAACGGAAGCTCAGGTTCTCCTTATCCGTAAGATCCTCCCAAGCCTGCCCCGTATAAGTCGAACTAGCCTCCGCAACACCCGACTCAACCAAAGCATCGCGCTTCTTATTCTCTCGTCGGAGATACCATCTCAGTGAAACTATGACAATTACCAGAAGACAGTAACAGCCGAGATGAGTGGCGAAAGCGATGAAGTAGCGGGGTCCGTCGTAGGAGAGGAAGACCTGGGGACCGATGGCGTTACCGGCTGCCCAGACGATGAAGTTGGTGGCGACTGCGACGGTCTTCTTTGTTTGACCGGCGATGTTACGCGAGATCATGGAGAGGGCGAGGGTTTGGGCGGACCAGAAGGATAGGGTTATGTAGTATGAGATCAAAAGACCGATGTGTTGCGCTGTTGTCTTATTGGGGAGAGTCATGAGGAGGATTGTACCGATGAAGGAACTGAGTTGTTAGCGGTGATCAAAGATGAAGAAGTGGAATAGACTCACGGGATACAGAAACCAAGCATGACCAGTAGGTTCTGGCTCGTCTTCTTGACAAGCCAAGCCGACGACAAAAGCACAATAACGATGTAGAAGCCCAACACCATCGCCAACAACTGCGTCTCAAGGGTACTGAACCCAAAGCTCTTAATGATAATATTCGCAAAAGCACCAAGGCCCGATGTAGGTAGCGTTGTGCACAGCGCGATGAGAGCATATCCCCAGACCTGGGGATCCTTGAGACCCTCAATGAACTGCTCCTTCTTGAACGTCTTGTTCTGGATACCAGTCTGGTTATCGCGCACACGCTCAACCATCTCGTGCTTTTCCTGCTCGGTCCAACATTTGGCTCGCATCGGTGAATCAGGCATCCACCATCCGACGAACACACCGAAAACTACGGAGATGACGCCGTAGGAGAGGAAGAGCCATTGCCAGGATTTGAGGGGGCCGGTCTTGATAAGGGAGAAGCAGTAGGCGAGAAGACCGCCGACGATCTGTTGGGCACCGTTCATCATGTACCTTCAATGGTCAATAAGATGTTCAGTGAGAGGGGTGAGGGAGGCGTACCAGTAGGTGACTCGGGAGGCTTGTTCTTCACGGCGGTACCAGATGGCTGACAAGATAACGAAGCATGGTTGACAGGCTGATTCGAATATACCGAGTAATGTTCGTACGATAACGAGACCTTTGAAGTCTTTACAAGCAGCGTGGCAAGCTAGACAAGCTCCCCAAGCAACGATGCAGAAAGAAAGATATTTCGCGATGGGCACACGGGCGATGAGCCAGTTCTGGGGATATTCGACAACGAGGATAGCGAGGTAAATACAGGTCGTAAGCCACGAGAACTACACCACCTTCATCAACATACTATCCATAGCAAAAGGTAAGGAAAGAATTGGCAACAACTCACATGCTGAGACACAGTCCCATCAGGATTCTCCAAACCCGTATCAGCAGTCAACCCCATAATCGACGCAAACGACAACGTCCCCTTATCAATAGCCTGCAGAAAATACGTAAAGATCATAATGGCAAGGACTCTCTTGTCAATCATCTTTCGCAGCTCCGCACTGCGCTCTGGCGAGATGTTGATACGCACGTCTGAGACATACTGCGCGAGTTCCTTGTCGACTCTTTCAGAGTGCTGAGCTGGCTTTTCGAGATCTTCGACCTCGTCGACGGATCTCTTGCGCTGAATTTCTGAAGCCATCTCGATTAGTAATTCGGATGAATTTGAGGATGAGATTATCGAGATGGATGAGAGGAAGGGTGGTCCCTTTTATGATATACGGTAATGGGGCGGGAATCTGGGGCCCCAGATGTCAACGTTACTTGTGAGAGAATACCCCATATTGCCCCAGTTTCTCTACTCCAGTCAAGATTGAGTTTTTACACTGTTTATCTCGTGGGAGTCTTGCCCGAGGCGCCGAGTAGGAAGGAGGATTGTCTACAAGTTACAACTCGGTAACGCGGCATCTTCAGGGTTTCGTCACTGGGGATCCGCTCTACGGGATAAATAAGCCCTGGTCAAGGTATGCCAGGGACGGGTAGGATCAGCATATGACATGATTTGCTGGGTTGTTTGACAACAGGAGGCTCCTGTGTTGACCCTCAGGGAGTGGACGGTTGCATGGGAGCGAGATATGCTTCTCATCAATCTGACATGTCCTCTGGTCTTTATCTTGAGAGCATAAACTCCTCTCAAGGTCCACTGAATCTATGCCAAGTTTATCTAAAGCTTCATGTAGGTTAGATATCATAACTGAGATCTCTAACTCACCAAGACCATATCCAACGGCAATAGTGACGACGCTGTGCCTTACGCCTCAACGTAACAGCCGCATCCGTCCCGTCTCTTGGCGATGAATTTGGAGAATCCAGGCAAGTAAGCGGCTCTTTTCTAATTACTCCGCACCTCAAATTTTCTCCGTCGCCGAGAGGCAGCATTCGGCAAGGCGAAGCGACGGGCAGCGAAAGAGGAAGACTTGGCCGTTGACCTGGTTTTGGCTCAGTGGGGGGGGATTAAGGTAGACCCACTGAAGATCCGAGGAAGCGCACTAAATCCGCGGTTTCTTTAGCGGTAATCCCCTCACTCACCACTCACTCTTAGGGGAGGAAATAAAACTCGGGACCTTGATCCTAAATGTTAAAAAGAGTAGGGTAATTTAGGATAAGCTTAAGATTGGTTTGCTAAGTTTAGGATATTTCTTGGCCAAGTTGAGAATCCCTTTTCCTGGGTTCATTTTGATATCCTACATCAAGGTCTGATGTTTTGCTCCCCGAGGCCACTCACTTACCCAAACGCTAGATGACAATTGCCATGACAAACTCCGGTATCAAAGCCGTAATTCACCGTAGCACTCCCCCAAGTGCCACTATATACTCACTTTCCAAGCTTCAGCCGAGTCTTTTCGTCTCTCTGACTTTACTGGA